TGCTATTTAAGATCAGATCATAGACAACATCACGGGTCACAGCTGGGCAGACACTTTTCACGCAAGAAATAAAACACAATTTTGTGGAAGATACGTCACAAAGACCTTAATCTAAATTTTAGTGACCACAACAGACCTGAAAGAGGGTTTGTTCAACACTGCCTTGAATGTATTTGCTGTTAACGTATACAAAGACTGGAAGTGGACATGGAATTTAGTTTTTCATATATCTGAGGGCACAGTCATTTCCTCCTGTTAACCTAGAAATTACAGGACTTCTCTGGAAAAAAGGAGAAAGATCATATAAAGACATATAAATGGACTACAAAGCTGACGACTGCTTAATAAAGGAGCTAACTTCACATGAGAGAAATTTCATGGGCAAGACTGACCTTACATTTTAAACACAAAATCGTGAAGATGCAGCTTTATCAGCATGCTTCCATCCTAATCTCTCATTGCGCAACCTGTCAGATAAGAAAAATCAAAAGGCTGTCAAGAGCAGAAGCCTGAGGGTGCTCTGAAATAGACCTGCCTGCATGCCTGTAACTTGAGGTGAAGGTATTATGTCTCTCTACAGACCTTGAATCACTTCTTGTGCTACAAACAATACACCCTCTGTGTTTAACCAGAAGTACAAATCTCTCTCCACCTGTCCTTGCAAAACCTATGAATTGTAGGGTGGCAAGGGTCTGAGTTGGCACAGACTTTGGTCAACTGTTATTCATATCCATCCAGTTCCGTATGAAAATTGCATGAAGGAGCACATTGCAGTCAATGGGGCTGCAGCAACGTAAACAGGACCCAAATGTAACGCACCCAATTTAGCATAATACTGCAATGGTGTTAAAAAGGTCTTTAAACTGTTGTACGTTACAAATAATCTTAAGTACTAAAGAAGTTCTCATTTACCCATGCTTAAGGTAAAAAGTTGCTTAAGATACTAGTTTTTCCCTGTTCTAAGCATAGAGAAGGACTGTCATAGGCAAGCTTTTAACAGCAGTTATCCCTAAGTAAAAGTTAGCTTAGAAAGTCCTTAAAAAAAGAAATCTGAATACAACTGTTACAGCTAGAAAGTCACAAGTATTTGTAAGTTCTTAAAAAGCTTTTTGGGCCTTGTGACTAAGATATTTATAGAAATACTTTTTTCTGTAACACAACAGCACATTACAAATCAGTAAGCGCAGAGAAACTGTGCGCGTCAAATTCACCATTTAATTGGGCACGACTGCAGTAACTCCAACAGGAACTCGGGGAGTCAACCAGAACCAGCCCCTGCAGAAAGCACTACCCCTTCCCTCCAGCACTAAGGTGGAGTGGTGGTACTGGGCCCAGTGGAGAAAGGGATGAGAGACATTTCTTCTGGGAAGTCAGAGGCGTCCCATGTTGGACTGCAACAGTTTTTGCTAGCGTACTGTGAAAAAGCATCAGAACACAACCACATCCCACTGCCAGCCCACACCTGAATCCATTTTCTGGTTCTTCACCCAGAGCACACTGCCAGCTGCTGGGAATCCAGTAAAACGCGCAGGTCAGACCTAGCCAGCTACCTTAACTTTAGATCCAGCTCCTGATCTGGCCATCCAGGAAGGACTTGGTTAAGGGCTAAGAGCAAGTGGTTGTGTGGGCTGCAAAGGAAAGCAATAGACCCACAGATTTGCAAATTTATGAGACAAATACTGCTATAAAACGATAACCTTACTCAAAACAACGTAATTTGTGTACGAGACTGATAAATATTCTGAAACGTTACAATAAATAGCACACAGTTGTAAAAACAGTAAATAGTTGCATTTTCCATACCTCAGTACAGCAATAGGAAATATTAGCTTCTCAAATCACAACCTGCTGCGTACCACAGCAGGAGTTAGAAGTGGCCAGCCAACCTGCCTGTTAGCTACATGCTGAAAAAGTAGTTACGTGATAGACAGTCAAGGAAAGAGCACCGCGAATAGTATTTTATTGTACAGATGGTATCTTTTTCTCATGTAAGTAATCTTAATAAAGTAGTAATTGTGAGTTTTAGCACCTATCAGTTAATAGCATTAACTATTATGCTAAGATACACTTTTCTCTGTTAACATTGCCATTTCAAAAAGGGAGACCTGGACTGACTTGTGCAGTGACTTGCCACGGGCTACGTTTGGAGGTACCCCTGTTAGGTCCACCTTTCAGTTTCTCACTTCTTTGAGGGAAGCTGCTGGTTTTTCAATGGAACATTTTTATCTTGAAGTCTCCTATCATACATAAGTTAAACACGGCCATTTACAGGAGAAGATTCAAGTAAAAATGATCCACTTTAATAATCGGAACATTTTAAAAGGCAAAGAGATGGCTCTGTAACTGACTCATTTTGCGTAGAAAAATCGTTATTCACCTGGAAGTGCTGACTGATAAATGTTTTTTTAAATTTGCAGTTATACCAACTAAAGCTATCGGCACTATCAGCGAAACCAATAAACTCATTTTTCTGTAAATGACCGACCGTGGTGTCGGGCAAGGGCTTTCAGATAGCAAATAAGTGAATGGAACAGCTAGAGAATGTACAGTACTACTTACTGTATGGACAGCTGGAATTCTTACTAATCTTCGGCTCACCAAAAATATACAAGTTTTAAAATGGAAATCTAAGGCACACAAAATACCATAATGATTTGATGTATACGGTATATTACATAGTCAAGAAGCATAAAACTGCTGGTACAAAACGATGGCATAATATTGGTTTTGTTTTATTATTATTTACAATCCCTTCATATCCTCTATTTGAGCTAATATTAAGCTTTGAACCAAAATTTGCAGCATACCCGGTTTTTACAAATTGTACTTAAAATAGGTAAGATACAAAGAATGGGTTCAACTTGGCCATCCTCTGCCATCAGCATTTTTGTTAATTTTGACAGGAATCTGTAGAATTGAACCCAAGGTCGTTACATAGTGATTGCTACTTCAGACCTTGCTCCTGCAAACGCTGCATGGGTATACATTTATACAGGAGGACAGTCTCACTGACATAGAGCCGCACTGAAGTATTCGTAGCACCAAGGTCCTAACTGGCACTATGTGTTAAAAATACAATTTATGCACTTGTCGTACCGAAACTGTAAATAAAGCGCTTACACTTCAACTATTCAAGGAAAAAGCACCTTGTCTGGGTTTTAAATAAAGCAGATCTAGATAGTTCATATTCCTCTGTTACAGCACCACTACATTATAATATTATCAAGTACATTATTAGTATTTTTTCACACTGGAAAACTCTGACCTCGTTATACCTACAGGTTACCCAGCTGGGGAGGACTCCGAGGCAGAACTAAGGTACAGCTTCGTCTCTGGGGCCTGATCCTGCAGCTCTCCATCATGAGAGGAGTCCTGGCTTGAGTGGCCCTCCTGGCTCTGACTGGGCAGGTATGGCTATGCAGAGCTGTTCTCATGGAAGAAGTTGCAGGGTGAGGTCGGTCCTTAGTTAACATTGGTCATTTGGCAATTTGTTTAAATAAATAAGTGTAAAAAAAGAAATACACAGGAGAGGAGAATCAGAAAGAAGAGTGGGATGCTACAGTATTTAAAAGCAATGGAGTGTCTGGTTTTTCTCTGGTTTAGCAAACACTCATTTCATGATATGTCACTTTTTCAACAGAAATGGAGAACATGAATTTCCTATGTTTGGAAGGAAGAGTACAACCCTTTCTACATGAAATGTATAAATCACTTGAAAAATTTAAAAAACATTTTTGTAAAAAAACCTGAACTTAGAAAGCTGGTGAATATTACAGATAGGTTATTCTTAATGAAAAATTTGCTGTTAAATACTAGAAATTTCATACTTTTCCAACCCTTCCTTTGTGTTTTCCCCAAATTAATTTATTTTTTCCAGAACAGAATAAGGCAACTCTAGGGGGTATTTTTTTTATCCCAAAACAATCCTACCCCTGAGGCATTAGGAACATTTGGTTGTCATGTTAACTTATAATGCTCCAAATGAATGAGACTTACGCACTTATTGCTCAAAGAAATCATAACAAATGCTGCCTTTAAAAACCCAAATAATATTCATAACTCCCAATAGCAACACACGTACTGACACGACGTGTCCCAATTTCATGTTTGTACACTCTCTTGAAAATAATAAAATGTTTCTGTATTTTGTAACTGTTGTTTATATGCAACATAAAATCTTCGATGAAAAAGGGCAAGTCTAAAAACAATCACATATGCTATTAGCATACATACTGCAGCTGTAACAATATGGAACTCTACACAGCAAGAATAAAATGATTTCTTCTGTAGAGTATGCACAACCCTTAGACAATATGATCCTTATACTATAGTATTTCAAGTTAATTTTAAAAATAGAAAGTGCTTTTAAAATATATATTTACAGCTTAAAAACAACTTCCAGCCATCGTTACCAATAACTTCATCTCATACCTAATGACAACTCTAGAGAAAAAAAATCATTGGTTTTCTAAAAGATTTCTCTGTAATTTGGACTATATAGCAATGGTTGGAAGTTGTTAAAGCAATGGCACCATGAAGTAATAATTCAGCTTATTTATTTTTAACTGTTTGATGTGGTTAAGCACCAAGAGCTGTGTAGAGCTAGTACTGTATAACTTGATTTAACACCATAAAATGTGAACCTGTTAAAATCCCTATAAATGATTTTTGTAGTAAACAGACTTGATTTAAAGCACCAAAATATAAATTCCTAAAGGTAATAAACTGAATGATTCAATCAAGGTTAATAACCTAAACAAAATCTTTTTTAGAATGTATTAAAACTATACAACTTTTTTTTTTTTTTTTTGCTTAAAATGTGCTTGAGCACCACCAAATGTTAAAGTCACAGTTTAAGAAGAAATCCCCCCCCTTTTTTTACCTCAGCCTTAAAATGGTTGAGATGAGCAAATAGTAAACGACACGAGACTTGTTCTTTAACAGCACCTTAAAGAAACACTGTGTAACACTGCACCAAGAGGAGGCATCCGATAGCGAACCTATGCCCAATGGTTGTAAGGCCCTGCAACGCGTGTAAGGGCATAAGAAGATACTGTTATTACGTTATCCTTAGTTACTGTTAATGCTCTGCGTGATGGAATTTGGTTGAACTCATTGTCTTCATAAAAAATATCTCTGTTTTCACTTGTTTGCTTTGTTTTCCTGCTGCTAGAATTTAGTTCGGTGTTCTCTGTTCCTAATCTTTCTGCTTCTTTTTCTTTTTCTTTTGCCCTCTCAGCCATCTTTGCTTCCCACATGGCTAAACCATGTTTTGGCTCATTTAAATTTTTGTGTTGGTAGAAAACTAAAGAAATTCTCGTGGGATGATTGCGGTTGGGTTTTTTAATAGGCGTGGTAGCATGGAGTTCACGTCTTGCACATTCAATTAAGATAGAACCATGAGAAGGTGCCACAGCAACCCCGCCGATGTCATCATCCAAAAAATTGTGCTCGCTGTCTGACCACATTTCCTCAGCTTTTTCTTCAGAATCAGTCGGTTGTCCCAGTGCACTGTTTTGCTTTTCATCAGCACAGTCAAAATCACACGTCTGTTCTCGTTGGGAGATGCCCTCTTCCGTTGGGCATCCATGGGAACAGTCAGCTTCGTTTCCGACTGCATCCTTTGCCGGAGAGCTTAGCGGTACTGACAAGTCACAAGAGCTGATCATCTGTGAAGAGGGAGAACTGTCTAACTGCAGCTGACAATTCTGTTTGTCTGGCTGATGTTCAAGTATAGTCGGCAGGGGGTCTTTATGGGCTGGGGGGCCTGGAGCAGTGACCTCTGGAAGAATCGGTGGCACACCATTCATCTTATCATTCAGCAAAATTCCAGTATAATCTTTGACCGACACATCAAAGTTCTTACAATTAACATACGGTGTCACGTGAGGTTGCTTACTACTGCATTCAAAATACCCGTAGGGAACTGAAAAATCTTGTTGAATATTAGTCACTGCTGTTATGCCAGGCTTATGTGCTAAAGATGAATAAGGATGTAAACTATCCACCTTGAAAGGGGAGGAAGCCGTGTACTGTTTCAATAAAGAGCAATTTTTAGTAGTGTTTGAAGTATGTTTCATGGCATAGAGGTGATCGGAAGTCTCCATTTTTATTCCAGGTTTTAAAGCCTCTGTTTTGTTCCCTAAAAAAAACGCACATCAAAGTGTAAGTACTTTTTCTCAATTAATAAAATACACCTTTTATAATATTTTCATACTTGCTTTCTAATATGAAAGATACACGTGATGGCTACAGGTTTTTCAAAACGGTTATTTTTAGCTTCTTAGGAACATCTCTATGACCGTTAAATACACACATAACCACCCTGCTGAATTAATGCCTTAACTTTTTCCAGTCAGATTGCTGGTATATAAAATAGAGAGGTATTTCACAGAGGGATGAATAACATAAACAGATAAAATGAAAGAACCACTCAGTCCCGATGCACACAGCCCATTTCTACACAAGTGCTTCCCAGCAGCTCACTGCTGGCCTTCAACACTGCCCAGGCCAGCAGGAAACACTGTGTAGAAGATTTTACGTAACTGATGAAATTTAGTCTTTTTGAAACTAAGCTTCAATCAAAACAATCAAAATCCTTGGCTGCCTTAGCCACACATTATGATCGAAGGAAAAAGCGTGTTTATAGAGCTTGTCCATCACAGCAAAAAAGTTACTGAATTACAAGGATTCGTGCATTAGCAAGTACCTACTCAGAAATTTCCTTTAAAAAAAAAAGTCTCTGGCAACATACTCAGGTAAACCCATCCTTATAAAGCTGCACCACGTGATCTGGCTGTCTTCCATCTAATTGCCACACATTAACTATTTCAGACCTTTGTGGAGGTATACTTGTTCAATTTATGTCAGCTTTCTAATCAATTTCTAGTCCTGGCACCCTACAGTCGTGCTCGTTTGTGGAACAGTCTCCTCAAATGACTCATTCTCGTCATGGATAAATTCAATCCAGAGTCCACTGGAGTAATGTGAAAGAATTCCATCGACCTTGACGGGCTTCGCATCATGCCCTGAAATTGCTTTACATGCGTTTTGCTGGCAAACTGGCACCCCAAAGAGAGCTCTCACATGTTCTCATAAAACCCATCTCTGTCAGTGTTTCTTCTTTATTCCATAAACACACAGAATGTTTAATTGCTTTACTGAATATAGAAGAACTATTCTTTCTTCTATTCTGTTTTCTAATAATTTATACATAGTGATGGATTAAAGAACATTCTTTCAATAGGAATGCAGAAAAGGCAAAGTGGGATAAATTACGGACACAATAGTTAGTATGCAAATACTGAAGTTGTGGGGGGACATAAGGAAACCGCAGTAACTCTTTAAAAACCTTTTCTACGAAATCAAACTCCAAGCATTTAATTTAATTAAGAACACACCCCAGACGAAGGCCTTCCCCCAAGAGATCTGAAACACAGCATTTGAGAATTGCACTTTCCATCATTTCTGAAGAGAGACCTACGTTCTCTGAAAATAAGTTTTAACAACCCACAGCACTCTCAAAACGGCCGTGTGTCCAGCAAATTCCCCATCTCTTGCCAGAAGCTAATTGCTCTGTGGGGGAAAGTAGCAGAGATTAAGAGAAGTTCATTCAAATACATGGGTAGAGGGAAATCAGTAATGGTTCAGATAAGGTGGCATTGCTCCCCAGGAATACCTCCTGTTCAAACAGATTCCGGTGTACCTCCACTGGGAACTGCTGGCTGAAGTGGCCACTACTCCGCTGTGGCCAGCTGAGAAACCGTCTCTGAGTTAGTGGTTCATCTCCTGTTCTATCCAATAGGCCAAGAAGGATTGCTAGGTATTTATGGAGAAATAACCTTTCTGCCTGTAAAGTTTATTTGTTCAGAATAACGTGGTTAAATGACAGGACGATACAAGGAAGGATGTAAGGTCTCTATCTTTAATATATATTTCATAATAATTTAGGACTTCAAAGGCTCTCAGCATTAGCACAAATGTAAAATTAGCAGTTGTGCTGCTTGCTGTTGGCAAGTGGTGCACGAGAAGTGCACCCTATTTAATATGCAGCCTTTCTACAAAGGACTTGGCACATTCGAGATTCAAACCAAGTCTTCACATGCACATGCTCTACCAAGTGGACTTAATCTGTCTTCAGCACTCAGAAGGTTCTCCTCACCACTGTCTCTGCCGCCAGGTAAAGACAGCAAAGAGGACAGGAGAGTCCTCTCTGATCCCTTTTCAATTGCCAGTTCTCTATGTGGTGAAGACGTGCAGGTTAGAAGAGTCTCCCAAGCCTTCCAGGCTGTCCAGCTGGGGGACGCTGCAATGGCTCTGAAATGGCAGCCAGGTCTTTTTCAAAAGAACTTACTACACCTATGTAATGGGCAACATGGCAGAGCCAGCCATGCGACTCCTTCATGATCCGCCCAGGCTGCTCCAAAGAGCGGTAGCCTCACACGGCTGAAAGCCTGACTGACAGTGTATACCACCGTTATCTCATCTCAGCTAACTAGACTTTCTCCATATTCTATATAACATTTAAAAAGCCAAACCAATACTCTAAACTCTTGTCCTCATTAGTAAATCAAGTACTTTAAATTACACAGACATCTATCAATACCTTTTCCTTCACAGTTGAAATGTAGCTAAGGACTCTTTTGTTCTTACATTAGGAGAAAATTTAATAGTAGTATCTGACTTGCTTAACGTACCTTTAGCAGTACTTGACTCACTGCTTACCTAAAACTACAGTCAGTATTTTTTTTCTTCCCTAGTAAGATTTTTTTTTTAATTTTTTTTCAGTCTTTTGTCTTTTGCTTTATGTTTAAATGGTTTGACCAGAATTGAATGCCACTAGTAATGTGAGAGGATCCTGATTTAAATAATCAATTGTTTCCGCTAGTTTACCATCAGCAGTGACTACTGGATAGTCTAGTTCCAACTTATCTGTCTCACAGGCCCTTTGATTTTTTCATATTAAGCCTAACAATCTCAGTTAGACTAAAATTTTCCATTCCTCAGGACTAAAATGATACCTGCCACTGGCAGAATGGAAAGAACCAACCAATGACTGATCCCCTATAACCACAAAACCCTGTACATACAAGTACAACACTGCAGTAGTCTAAATCCGTAGTTCACAGATCTTTGCATTTCACTGTGGGTTAGGGGCAGGGCAGCAGAGGTGTGCTGAGGTCTTTACCCAGCCATTGTCCTGTATCACTCAACACGTCAACGATGTGCAGAAATGCTTCAAGTTACTGATCCCATTCAGAGCACAACACCTTGCCCTTTGCAAACCTGAACCTCCTCTGCCGCTGCCAGACAGTCAGCAAAGCCTCTTCAGAGTTGTTCACACTGCCAACTGCAGCAGTATGTGCCATTGCCACTCTTGGGGATTACAGTGTTAACATCTATTTTGAGGGATTCCACTATTGAAACTTCCATGACAAAAAAAATGCACTTTTATGACAGAAACTAAGTATTTCTATTCACATTCTTATTCTTCCATCTCTGAACAACTTTCTCACTCATAAAAGTATTTCTTCCTCTATCAGTGACTTATTTAAAAGGGCTGCTGAAAAATATTACCAAAATACTTCAAGTCCAAATGAATTATGTAAGTTGGCTTGTTTACACAGTTATTTTATTATTTTTGCATGTTTGAGGAATAAAGTTCTATGTTCCCAAAGCGTATGACAAAACTCTGGATCAATCGTACCACTTGTTAAAGGCATGGTTTTCAGGTATCGAAGCCTTCCCTATTTGGAAGTACAACGTCATGTACAGGTGGGCAGTTCATAACTCTATTTCAGTGTTTCAAAACAATGTTCCAGTGAGATCAGACAATTTCAGAATTCATTCCCAAACCAGAGCCCTTCAGTGATTCCAGGCCTTCCAGTCTACCCCGAGCACGATGGAAGTTACTAATCATTGCTTCGGAGTTATTGTTGGACATCATCCTCAGCCTTAGGAGTCCTTTTATATGTATTTCAAAGCCTGGACTGCCTCCCCCAAACTTGCATGTAGATTAACTGCACATGTGTCTAATTACCTAGGGGTGTCATTAATGCTGCTTTTCTTGTTCTTATTCCATCTTACTATACGTGACAGTTGTTGGTTGCCCTGACTCCTCTACTGAGACAAAGCAGGGTGCTGAGTGCGAATTACGAAAATCTGTCAAACGGATTTTTGTTTTTAATTTTATCCCCCTAAAATGCAGATGTTCTTCTAAATATGTTCAGTTTTTATTCCTCCCCTTAAATTTACTACATGTATCTGGATGTCTCTAATGAAATAAAATCCAAAACTATAGCAGCTTGGCTAATCTTCCTCTCTTCTTCTTAAAAGGTAGACAGGCTATGTTTAATTCCTTTTATTTATTTGTCCCCCTCTAATCACAGAATCAAAGTCCATGGCTTCCTTCACCTCTTCTGTCTTTTCTACATCTCATGACTGCAAAGCCCCATAAAGTAGTTCTATCCTCTGAAGCACTGGTCTGAAATGTGACCCCAGGCACAACAGCGTTAATCAAAACTGCCTCCGTGCAGCTCAGCCAAAGCACGATTCTCTTGCACAAAGATGTACTGTAGCAGAAGACTGGCCACAGTAACCCGCTTGTAAGAGAACAAACATGGTGTACCTTTTACCTAGCTGCTGACAGATCCCACCTCTCCGGCCCTTGCTAATAATATTTCAAGGAACACTTTGAGAAGCACTGTCTTATTTAACAAAACCTGGGGCTTTTTGGCAAATCTCTTGCTTTGTAGTAGTATCCATGCCATTGACAGGAAATTATCATCAGCTGGGATTCTGAGAAAGCCATAGGAAGTGGGTAATGGTCCTTGTACTTTCAAATGATACAAATTCGTATCGGTTACTTAGATAAACATTCCTACAACAGTATTTCAAGATGATCTTACTGCCGTTATTTATTAGAATAAGGGTACTTGCAAATACTTCGCTGGTGCTCACACACCACCACAAACTTATTTGTGGGCAATCACCTGTTTTTTTTTTTCCTGTGCCAAGAGAGAATATTGACTACAATGACTTGCTCATTAACCCCTAAACCAGAGAATATACAAGTATTTTCCACAACAGAGTATTAAGGGGCTTTTCCTTCTCCTCTGATGGGCAAGAGGCAATACAGTATCAGAAAAGACTGGGAGAATTTCATAAGCACCACTCACCTAAACAATGCAAAGTGTTGCCAAGATTTTCCGGGGTTTCAGTTTTCAGCTTTACTGGTGTTGAGTATTTTTTATCTATTAACGTCTGCTTTTCAGCCGGGGTCCTCCTTGTGTCTGGTTTCTTTTTCTTTGTAGCTCTGAGAGGCTCAGCTAACATTCGTACTTCTCTGGGAAAAGCTGTGAGCACCTGTATGGCTCCGGCTTTTATCTTCGCTTCCAGTCCCTCTTCAGTGCCAAATTCATCTGTTTGTGAGATTTTGTAAAGAGGTAACACATGGAGCTGTTCATCACTTGGAATCACACCCACTCTCCGGTTATCTTCCTTCGTTAATGTACAGACCTGGCAAGAACAGGGACATTTACACATACAACCACATACATAAAATACAAAAGTTATTCAAATATTTAAGCAGTCGCCTTATACTTCATTGTCTTCTCATATTTTATAGCCTCAATGCTACGAGTCTTTCACATGCAATCATCTGACAAATATTTTGTTTGATTTATGATGATGCAGAAAAATTATTGGTACTTGAAGAATAAGATCAAGGCACATGTCTCAGACAGGAAAAATGAAACTTTGGCTGAACTTACACTACCCACAAATGTATGCCAACCTTAGTAAATAATCTGAGCTGTAAATATACTGTAAATGCCTAAGCATTCAGATTTTTGGGTTTTTTTTTTTTACACATACTTCATGTTCAGATCAATTTTAAAAGACTACAAAATATGAAAAAACAAAGTATTTTTGGATTGAAGATGTTTTGATGTCATGGGAAGTGTTTCGTTGTTTTTTTTTTTCTTTTGGCAAATGAAAAAACCCAAGCAGTTACTCATACTGCTCTATACTTTTAGCAAACCTCAGCTCTAACTCCCTCCCTTCTCCCTTTATACTCGCTTCCCTAAATTAACACCCTTCCCCAACCCTGACTGCCTGCTGTAATGAAGTCCCAAGACCCTGCAAATGTTTGGTTTCTCTTCAGCCACTGACCTACTCTCTCTTATTAAATTATGTGTTGTGAGATACTGGAGCCCAGAGGTGAATGCTGACTAGATCCGGTTTGATAAGGGCACATCAGAAATGTGGATAAATATTCAAACTTATTGCAACACTTTTCTCATAATTTTTCTGAATCACTGCTGAACATTTGCAGTACTTATCATTTTTAGCACTTGTAGAGTTCCGGCCACTATTCATACTAACCCTTCACCCCAACAGAAGTTAACCAGTGTGGTTCCTGGTTTCATTTGGTGCTTGCCAAGGGATGGCGACAGTTTGACACGTATCAGCAAGTGTACAAATAGTCACGCCATTTGTAGTTTCATTGATCACACTCGTAAGAGACTACTGCTTTTCACAACAACACACGACATCGCTAGAAAGCCATGCATTAATATCATGGCTTAGGTAAGCTACTATTTCACAGGGAGTTACTAACTACACACACAGAGGAATCTGAGTGCCATCCAAGGATGAGATGATACTCCCGAAATGGAAATGTTATCATTCCATCATTGTGCAGGCTGAACATGATGCCCGTCATAAACAGTTAATCCAATTTCCCAGAATCCTGTCACCATACCTAACATTCCAGAGAATAGTATTATTATTTAGGGGGGAAAAAACCCAAACTTTTCTTATTTCATAGCACAGCTGTCACATAAAGGCATCACACACAATTATTTCCAGAGTAATAAAATTACAGAGTCACAAACTAAAAATCCTAAATCAATAAGGTGGTGGTTAGGGCTCTATAAATAGCTATATGCAAAGCTTGACAGTTGCAGAGCAGCAAAAGGAGGAAATTTGAGGGGCAGACACAGGAGAAGCGCTTTTCAGGTGGCACTTGGAAAGGATTGAGAGAAGGGCTCTTAAGAAGGCAAAGTGAAGGGGCGATTAGAAGCTGATGAGTAGCATTTACTGATGTGCTTACTCCATGCGTACTTACCTCTACTGGGCAGCCTTTGGACTATGAGGAAGATTTAGAAAAAACAACAAGTTGTTCCATGAGCAGCGAATGACGCCTGGTTCCCTACGGACTTCTCCATCCCCACGCGCCCACATGCCCAACCCCAGCACCATTATCCCCACTCCCACCTCCGCTGGGCGTCAGCCACCGGCAGCAGGGCCCAGCTGAAGCTCGGTGCCGCCCAGCTACCCTGCGGGTTGACCCGCGGCCATGAGGACCCTGCCGCTGTCTCAGTGGAGGAGCGGACCTGGATCCGCCTCCCCCGCTCAGCAGCGGAATTTCACAACTTGGAACAAGAGGTTAAAATCTCCGAAGACAATTCAGTTTCTGCAAAGTTCAGTGAAATCTGGTTGGAATTTGACAGCAGATTCCAAGTTATTCAAGAAGGGTGAAAGAGGGTAGGACACACAGAGAGCAGAATTACATATGACTTGTGTTCTTAGAAAGCCCAGGACACCCTCCCCTTCCAAATTAGAAACAAGAGCAGTAATAAAACAAGCACGGAGGGTCCTAGCTCCCACTTGTTCTCATCAGAAATCACGTGAATCTCACTCATCTTTTAAAATGTTCTGTCCAGCCTGTGCCTGGACTCATGCGCTAGTCCAAAAAATGTCTGAATCTTGAAGGAGATTCAATCCACAGTCCTGCTTATTTTGAAAATTGAGACCCTCATCCAATTTACAGTTCTAAATTTTCATGCATTTCACCAGACACTTTCATGGAAAACTGACCTTGTACATTTGTTAGATTTATTCTTTTCCATAGAAAGACTTACTCTTAAAAAATGTATTAATCATCTTTCATCTGACTTACAATTAGACAAAGGTAGATTAGCTCTACGTTTTCACAATGCCTAGCCCAGGGGGAGCATACAGGCAGAGACAAAAATCAAAGCTCGTATTTGTTGAAGAAAAACCTATTTTAAGGAAAAATGAGTATCTGTCACTATCACAAAGCCAACACCCCCTTCAGAACAGGAAAGCCAAAGAACTGTTTCGAGGAACTAAAGACGATGAGGGCTGTGATACATTGCCAGAACTAAGCTGAACGTACAGTCAACTCCAACTCTCATGATATATTAAATACTGAGTTAGAATATATAAAATTAAGAAATTCATGTACATTAAAAATGATGTTAAAAACCTGAAGACCAGTACACCTACAGCCTAAATACCGTGACAGCAAATATAATACAGTAAAAATTCCAGGTCAGCGTCCCCCATAATATATATGAGAGGAAGGACACAATGGCAAGTGGATAACTGAAAAGTTAATGTTATGGGGAAACCAGCTATAAATTAAGGCCTTAGAGATAAGCTAGCTATTTACAGCTGAAGCAGAGTAATCCACCAAATGAGAAACTTGTTTCAAAAGCCACTCTAATATTGAAATCTGTGCAAAATTTTCCATTAAGAAACTTAAAGGGAAGCTATCGCTGAGAAATTAAAAGTAATGTTTTCCATTGGTACTGATACTGCGCTGCAAATGGACCAAAATTAAACCCGAACATGAAAAAATCATGGACTCCGTTAAAGCCCATGTACACAGTGAAGCTGCATAACCTGCTGCTCTAAATACTTTTTCCAGAACATGCAGCTAAATCATCCAGGATGCTCAAAAGCCAAAGAAAACGTTGGCCAAGTAGTTTGTTTAGGTTTCCAGTGTGCTTGGTGATCAAAACCATTACCTATTCTGGGTTTAGCGATGTCATGTGGAAACTTGCATATTCATAAAACTTTGGTTTTATTTATTTTAAACTTAAAATGCACCGATGAACTCAATAAAATTCCCTCCACAGATCTCCAGACTGTTCCCAATGCTTTCATCTGCCTTTGTCCTCTTGAACTTCGCAGGTAGGTATGATGTAGCCTTTTCCACTATGTCGTAAGAACAGATGTTTCAAATTCCAGTTTCGGCAAAGCAGTCAAACAGCCTTTCTAAACTTGAAAGATGGAATCAAGTTTCCTATGCTCCTGTCCCCTCTGCAGATGGAAGGCAGCGTGGGTGCCATTTGGGACTCTGAGGTGCTGCGGCATCGTTGCTTACTGCTACAAATATGGACAACGCTGCTTTTCCTTTACAGCCGAGACAAATTGTGGCATTTTATTGGCCTTTTAGACCCTGAGTTAGCGTGTGTAAGTCTGAGAGTCAAAGAAGGGAACCCCAGACGTATATTCTTTTTGACCACCACCCACACACGCAGAGGAAATGTCATCAGACAGCATTTCTGTACGGAACACTGTAACGCCTTATGGCGCACAAATTGCTGTTTGGGAACTTCCGATGTTTCTCCGTTTTCACAACAGAAATAACAGTAACAAAACCCTTCCTTTACGGCCCTGTGGGGTTTATCTTTTCTCCCGTACCGATTTAAGCACATCTAGTAGTCCTGCAGCTCAGAAAGCAAGCCGTGGGCGTGGTCCAGAAGGTAGTCTAACCAGTCACAGAGACATTCCGTCATTTATTGCAAACCCCTGGGCCTATATGCAATGACCTGATGAGCTAGAACGGCAGAAATACAGTAGGTTATTGGAAGAGCAGGGGATTTTTTTTTTTTAAATAAATCTGAAACAGTTTGTTGACAGATTGCTGATTGACACAACTTAGTCCTGCTGCCAATAATAAACTTTATATTGTAGCTGCCCTTGAAGCATAGATTATCTTCCTCCCCTTCTTCCACGGTGCCTGCCACAGACTGTGTGGCCCCAATGACCACACATAATGGCAGCTGGTCTCCCTCCCTCCTTCCTCAACTCCAGTGAAAAGGGCAACGTGCCCCATAGGATGAGAACCACCCATATACGTGCTACAGAACTGGTGAGGTCTTCATTAATCATTTCGTCCCAGTCACTGTAAACCCCGGATGTCAGTGATTTAAATGGACTCACGCAGGTATGAAGAACGTGATCTTTTGCAGCTAATCCAATGAAGAAACAAAAATACTTACATTTCACAGACTCCATTAATAACTATAAAGCTTTTATCTGCGTGTTGCTCATTTATGGACTAGCTTTGTATCCACAAAGAACAGTGCACCCTAACACTGCAGTTGGAACGTCCATCAGTGGCCCTTGGGAGAACATTAAAAGATGACACAAGTGTCTCAGTAAAAATGGATGGTGTATTTATTGACTTGAAGGTTCTTGAAAAACTCAATTTGTAGGCAGAAAGTACTTGTGTTTCTTTCAGATAAATCAGATAAACGCGTTAGTTTACACCTCTGTAGAGCTGCCAAGTGTTTTAATTCTACTAAAAAGCAAACAGGGAATATTCATTTCTATTTTTAGCTTTTCTACCAAAAAGCAGCTCTGCTAAATTCAGGGTGTGATTCTGCTAGCCAGGAAAGATGATCAGCAAATCAAATCTCCCCTGGTAATCCTAATCCTCAATTTGTCTAAGTTTGATGTACTATTCTAGCTTGTATCTACAGAAGACATTTCCAAGATGTTCTTCCCCCACTGCTAACAGAAATGACAGCCTCATTTACTTTCAGAGTCACACACAAATAATGCAGCTGATCATCAAAACACGTGTACCCAGAAAAATACAAGACTGGTCTTCTGACATTCTGGCAGAGACAGAGCAAGGAAATCATTATTGGCAGCTCATCAGACAGTATATTCCTTCACGTACACAGTAAACTCCATGCAATTCCTTTTTGTATTTTACCACTAGTTTTCCTGTGTTATTACCAGTTGTGGTTATAAGCCAAAATTAACAACACGAATTTTGATCATCATCAAACTGATTTAGATTGAAGGAAGCTCAGCACGTCCTATCACCCTGTTTGCAAAACAACAACAGTTTCAGCTTTAAGCTTCCATCACGTACCACTGTCACCATATACCTCCACAGGCTAATGGGCAGCAAACTCTGTGCCCTGAGAATCACCCCTGCATCTTCTCGCTGTGGGGGCTCCATGTAGATGGTGGGTAACTCTGAACTCTAATTCACCTTCCCAGTGCCCCAATTCAAGTATATAAATTGAGTGTTAATACTTACAACTATTTCCTATTTATATTTAGCCCTTTGTTGCAAGTATATTAAAATACAGAGGTATGAAGTCTAAATAAAGAGAATATCAGGTATGCAATAGTTACTTGTATGAGTGAGCTATCTGATGAAAATCAGATTCCAAGGCATAGTTTTCAGCAGTTATAATGATTTGATAATGTCCTGCAAGACTTAGAAAATTTGGCAGAACTTGACAGAAAGGCAATGATAAGTTCTGGCCTATACAGTGACCTTGCACAGGTCGTAACTTTCCATGCTGCTTTACATTTGGAATTACTTGCAGGCACACCACGTACAATCCACAGAAATAAAGTATCAACACCAGCAAGGATAATCTGAAGCTGAACTAACATCAGATGGTTACAGATAAAAACATTCGTAGAACTACTCCCCAATACATTCCTCACAAAAAGGGCCAATTGTCCCTCCAGCCGCCTCTGGCCGTCACTTACGACTTTTCTGGGATCCAATATGGCAGAATGAGTAGCAGACGCAGCTTCCATTTCATTTTGTCTCTAAGTTAAGAGGCAATGTAGTGCTTAATAAAGTATTATTTTCGGAATACTTTAATTTCATTAAAAAGCATACCATGCAGTTTGTCACAAAAAGGAAGTCTCATTGCCAAATTTGGAGCCTTTAGGAGGTTCAAATTCCTATGCTTCAGAAGCTTTGAACTGACTGTACTTACACACAACCTTACTCATAGCATCTTACTAACATTTTGCAAAGTACACTTCCAGCACTCTCTCACACAATGTCCGCGTATAAGTGGCATTCGATGCTGGGCAAAAATATTAGTCTGTTCAGGACTGGCAT